TTATAATTGTCACGCTGGTTTCGTAGTTTTTAATGGCTGCTGTGCATGCGGTCATCGTCGATATCTGAACTGAAAGAATCCGCGAGTTCCGGGACGTATATAATATTATAACAACATCTCAGTTGAACATCGTTAATTTTTTCGCCCCCAGAGTGCGTCTGATCTGGTTGACAATTATTAACAACAATAATAATAATATTATGCGTTCGTAGTTTTTTGTGTGTGGGAAAAAAAAATTCCAGACCGATTACATTACTCATTACTTCTGCAGAGCGCTTGTACGTCGAAACTATACTGTTCCCGACAATTAGATTTTATTCCGGACCGCAGTATTATAATAATAGTATATTTCTATTATTATTATTATTATTATTATTATTATTATCATTACAATCGTATTCGTCGTGCATATACACCGCGGTCGCTTGGGGAGAGGGGTCGGATATTGTGTGTCAGTACGACAGTACGTACATAACGGTCCGTACCATTTCCAACGACCAAGTTCAAGTGTGAGCACCGAACACCGCCAGAGGCTGATAACGTGTAAAAAAAAGCATACACCTCTTCCGACCAACTCACCCATCGTTGCCGTCCGGTTAGCACTATATCGATCAATTTGACTACCAGCGCGGTAGTCTCTCACCTGCAGCGACGAGGGCTGTGTCCGGCGGTTTTGTTGGTTTTCCCCGAGTGATGATTAATCTTAACACGCGTATTTAAGTTCGATTTATTTTTTGGAACACCGTCAAGCATCGACACTCGTGGACAATTTCGGCACACAGTAAGAGTGATTTTATTATAATAATTATTCTGGCTATAACATTAATTGATACAGTGTTGTTGAAACCATTGTTTCGGGTGTTTTATTAGTACTTTAAAGACAGTTAAACAAATCCATTTCGCGATTTAATACGTATAAGTCAAAGGTCAATATTCAATTTTTTCGCTTCTTAAGATTCTTGATATGTTTTAATTTAACACAAGTTATTCAAGAACTTAAATATTTAATTTTATATTCTTAAATTAATATAGTTAATATTTGGCATTCATTTTTATGAAATAATTTAGTATTGTCTTATTTTTGTCACTGTGATATTATAAAAGAAATTGTAAGCACAATAAATAATAATGTAAAAATATAATATTTTAAAATTATTCTCCTTTAATGAATTTAAACAAAAAGTTATTACTTTAGTACTACAAATGTATTTTACAATAATTAAAACAAATTGTATCAATTAAATGTTATTTAGATATTAATTATCTATTTAAAGTCTTTTTAAATTTATGTTTTAGTATTATCAAATAGCATATACTTATTAGGTAGTGAAAAGGGGCATTGGATAAATATTTATTTAAATATATTTAATATGATAAAATAGAATTATAAAAAAGTGTAACAGTAATTTAAATCAAGGTTCATAACCTCGTTCCACCTCTAAGGACAAGGTTTTTATCGAAAATTAATTGGTTTTCTATTAGACGATCATGCGTGTAAGCAGATAGTTTTGATATTATAAATAAAGTGACTGTAAACCACGTATGTGTTATGTTTTTATTCCGGATGCATTACTATTCTAGGCCTAGTGGGTTCTTTGAACTTCAATCCATTCGGATCAAATGATATGACTCATTGAGGACAAGAGAAAATATTTGAAACGGTAAAATCGTTAGTACGAAGTGCACCGATATAACTTTCTCGAGGGGAAAATGTAAAAATCTAGTACTTAGCTTAACTCCAAGAAAAAATGACACACAACTGTTAAACTCAGTTATTTTTCGTTATGTTATTGATGACACACAATAATTGCATTTAGCTGCAGACGAGAATTACGATAGGCATTACACACGAATCGCTTTAAGAGAGAGAGAGAGAGAGAGAGATAGTTTGATAAGTATCCAAAAGTAATCCGTTGCCATTAGTCGCAACCGACCTACAATTAATCGATTAAACCTGTGGGATAGAGTTTCTTAGCCTCTATCTGGTTTAGCCCTTTGTTGTAAAAGATATAGTAGCAAATAACTTTTGCGTTTAATGTCAGTCCATTCGTTTCGGGTAAAACGCACTTTTTACAGCTCCGCCTTCCGCCCGGAGAGATTTGCACGCTCTTCACATATAAAGACATAGAGTTATCGAGTTATTTATATCCAGATGGGTGGGTATAACTACATATAGGTGCACAGGACGATTATTTAAGTGCACAGGTACCTATCATTAAAACACTTACGTGCATGCTTTCTACGTTTGTATATTTATTTCATTTATTATTATTTTTATTCGACGCGTGCCTGCTTTTTATTGTGAGAATAGTTCGGATTTTTTTTAATATGACCGGGGTATAATAACAATACTATTGTTGAACCGTATATTTCCTACCACTATGATATTATGTGTAGGTATGTAAGTTATACAAGACGTGTTATGAGCAAAGTTTGTCAATTCCGTTGAAATATGAACACACAACACCGCCACTGCCATTTGAAGTTTTATTATTAATAAGCAGCAACGCTCATAATATTGTTGTGTCGACATGTGAGAACGTAGCCATATTAAAACACAGACATGCTTAGGTACCAACAACATATACGATTTACTAGAGTCTAGAATACAATATTATTTTGAAATTGATTTCTTTTTAGTATAAGTACATAACTTTTCGGTATACTTGTCCAGTAGTCCATATATCAAAAAAAACATATTGTACTCGGCAAAAATCGAATCGAAAGTTTTAAAAACGATTTCTATAATGTGTGCAGCACAATTTTATTTTTAGCTATAAAGTAAATACCAAATCCATAGTTTATGCAACACACTTAAAACCAAACAGAAATTAATAAAAAGTATCTTCACATGAATTTACATCCATCTAATAAAGGTTATAATAAATACATTGTAATAATTACATTACATGTAGGTATTGAGAATAACTATAAAATTATTATCGGCTATAAGAGCCTGCATGAGTATAATATAATAGAATATTTAAACTTATAAACTATGACATTGTGTAAACAAAACTCTGAATATGTACAAAGCATCATATTGTAAAGTAAGTAATACATTTTTAAACTCAGTGATTATTCTCTTTATTTATTCACTCTTGAACAATTGAAAGGTTCCTTATTTCTAAGATGTCTACATATAATCTAATAGAAATCATCTCTACTTATATATTCTAGAAAACTTTTCTCGGTAATAATGCTTACTTCGTGTTGACTCTCATTATACCTAAACTAATTTTTAAAGTTGAACTTATTCTAAACCCAAAGAGAACTTTTATTGAATTTTAAAATTAACATATTCATAAATGTAACTAGGTATATTATTCTAGCAAAGCCCTTAAAAATACTAAATATTTTTTAACTATTTTTTTTAAGTTTTATCATCTGTAGATTGCATGTTATTTCATTTAAATAATATTTTTACTAATATAATATAATTTTATATGAATCATTATAAATTGTATAATGATTTAATATTGTATTGTTTTAATAAAACGATATACATTACTAAAATAAACTAAACTTTCAAAAATGTTTTTCATTTTAATACATAAAATTAATTTTAAAAAGTTGGTGAATGAATTCTTGAATAATATGCCTGCACCGTAAACAATTAAGTTGTATTATATTCTCATGTTTATACTTTATATATTATTTATTTTACCTATTTTTATAGCAAGACTAAACACAGGTTAGGTTAGATCTCTATTATTGAACGTCCTTTATTATAAACTTAAAAATATTCTTACTCATTGTTAAATCATTTGTTTCAATATCTCCTGAGTTACTTTTGTATGAATTAAAACTATTATATTAAGTTATAAGTTATAAATAATAATTTAAACACATTTTGGTATTTATTAAACCCGTATTTTCTAATGTATCCAACATTGGTAGTGATCAATTATTAATAATAATATCGGTAAGTGATTCGCGTATAGTTAAATATAGCCTACAGGGACAGTATTTTTTTATTTTATTTTTCATTTGAATAAACGTTCTTAGGACTTAAGTAGAGCAGAGTAATATAATATTATCTTAAAATTAATACAATACAATTCAATAGATTATTAAAGTAGAAAAAATAACGGTTAAATTAAATACTAGCAAATTAAGTTAAGTCAATTAATAAAATAATGACAGACCTAGACACATATTGCATTCTCATTAAACATTAAAATATATTGAGTATTAGTTGACTAAGAAACAAAGTTTAGAAGGATAGAATTGTTTCAAATTAAACAAATCAAAATTAATCATTGCAATACGCAATTCTCTGACTATTCGATCAATGGGGTTACTGAAACCATAGGATGTAAGATGAAATGGGTCTTCAAATGTGGGACAAAATCGTGATTTATATAGAGAAACATGAAAATCAGGTACTAACGCAGATGGATTAAGTAATATATTATCATTTTTAATTTATATAAATGATTTATTGCATTTGGATAATATAGATTATAGTAATATATATTATCATTTGCAGATGATGCTGTATGACGTTTTTATAATTAAACTAATGTGGACATTTGTTATAACTTAGGGCTATCGTCACTCAAAAATTTACCATAAATAGTGTAGTTAATGATAATAAAAAGTACAAATCGGTATTTATTCCATTTGCCCTATCAAATTCAAACACATCACCAGATAAAATTATAATTTAACAAACATTTAAAATAGGCAACTCACATTAAAATGGTAATAATGAAGATAAAGAGAAGCTTTTATATTTTTAAAGAGTTATGTGATATTTCTAGTCTAAGAATTATTTAGTTTGCATATAATTTCAATCTATGATAATTTTACGGATCTCATAAAAATATAACACCTATAATTTATATCTCCTAACAACGCAATTGCACAAACGTCAACAATACTTTGGCCAAACACAATATTAGGACTAGTTTATTTAAAATTGTTTTCTATAGGGCTTGAATACATTTATATTTTGTTTATTTACTTTTTTTAGTAACGATTATATTTTCCCAAAAATGGCTGAAATACAATCAAACATCCAAGAGTTTTTTAAAAACAAATCCGTCTTCGTCACCGGAGGTACAGGGTTTCTTGGTAAGCTGATCGTCAACAAATTGATTAGATCATGCCCTCAGATCAACCACATCTATCTGCTAGTAAGGGACAAAAAAGGAAAAAATGCGCACGAAAGGCTAGAGGACATGTTCAATATGCCGGTACGTTTTATACTTGTATATGATTATATGTAATATTTTTATTTCATAAATAGTTTTAAACAAATTCAACGCGATATCGATTTACAAAACTTTAGATATTTAAAGACATGGATGTATCAACATTGAAGAAAATCAGTGCACTCAGAGGTGACTGTAGCCAAGCAGATTTGGGACTATCTGCCGAAGACCTAAATACGTTAATCAAAGAAGTAAATGTCATATTTCACAGTGCAGCTACCGTTCGATTTGACGAACGCCTTGACATTGCCATCGGAATAAACGTAATCGGTGCCAGAGAAATCATAAAACTAGCTCACAAAGTCGAAAATCTAGAGGTAATGATTAAATATTTTTAAAAGTGTATTATTTATGTAGTCACTTTTTCTTCGACTATCTATTTACGAATTGCAAAAACAAATAGTCTTATTTTTTTTAGTCGTATTTGCATGTCTCGACGGCCTTCTCCAACTGTCATAATAAACGTATAGAAGAAAAGTTTTATAATCTGCCATATAACTATGAAAAACTCATACATCTTTATAAGACAAAAAGTTCAAATATACTCGAAAAAATGAAACCTTTGTAAGTATTAAAATTCTACCTATACTCTCCACTATTTTGTGTACCTGCTCGATTTTTTTTTTTGTACACACAAATTAAGCATAATTAAATTTGTAGTAGATGAATTATACATTTATTTAATCTTGTTGAATTGTCTAAATTCGTTTAACGTTCATCTACATGTTTCCAAATCAGTTATCAGTATAATAACAACATAATCGTCGTCGGTCAAAAATATGACAATGTTGTAATATCATTAAAGTTTTTTTTTTCACTATAAGAATATTGTCATACAATAATGTTTCTGTTTCTGAACATAATTTAAACCTGTCGAGCACAAAGATACCCTAATACAATATTATTGCCTTCATAAATCTAGCCTGTTGGGACCCATGCCAAATACTTACGTCATGACGAAAGCGGCTGCCGAACAACTGATCAAACGTGAAGCCAAGGGTCTGCCCGTCACGATAGTCCGTCCGGCAATCGGTAGGCACCTACCTATACTTATTTAAAAATGACGAGAAAAAGCGTCATTTTCTTAATATAATATATAATGTTATGTATACGCAATAGGCGATTGTTGTAATTGTTTGTTTTTTTATTTTTCACAACCACAGTGATAGCGACCGCCAACGAACCTCTGCCGGGTTGGATCGACAATTTGTACGGGCCGACGGGCATCGTGACTGGCGTGATGACGGGCATAATAAAATCGCTGCCATGCGACGTAAACGTTGTCACGGATCTGGTGCCTGCCGATTTGACTGTGAACGCGCTAATAGCCGCGTCCTGGGACACACACGTCAGGTACGACACATGAGAGCGGTCCTTTGCGACGACGCTATTACATTACCTATTAAATTCGTATGATAATATAGTCCCTAACCTATGTCTCTCGCCGACGTGTGCGGCTTAAACTAATGGTGGAAAGGCCGAGTGATGTGACACCCTCAATTTGATCGAAATCGAGGTTTTAACAAGGGTGTAGCTAGAAATATTATCGGAGGGGGGGGACCAAGTGTATTTTTAAATTTTTACCACAATTTAAAATTTTGTTAAACATTTATATATTAATTGTTGGCTACGGGCGGGGGAGACAATAACCATCACCCCCCCCCCCTCCAACCTCTTATATACGCAAATGCGTCTTAACTTACAACGATAAAACAAAATATGTAAACACATGTTTTTTCAAATTAACGTAACTTTCTAAACATTTTTTTTTCAATCCAAATTTCATGTTTATTTCATTAAAGAACTACACTATAACCACATGGAGTAGCTACATTATGGTCAAGTGCGATGTAACTATGTAAACCACAATGTAGGTATCCCACAATAACTGTAAACGGTTCCAGTCAACTAATGTAACCATCACTGTAACCCTAAATTGTTTTGTAATGTACAATACCACAGTTAACGTAATTCTAAGAACCTCATAAAGTCATAACTATTAATGCCGAATTATTTAAAATATAAATCCCGATAAAATAACCTTTAACTTTCTTCACGCTTTGAAACATTACCATTAAAAAAAATAATTTCTCACTTTTAATTGCATAATTATTTAATAAAACACTTGTTTAACGATTTACCAATCAAATTTTACCTTCCTTGCATATTTTTTAACAAAACTATTAATATGTCAGTCTCTCCTGTAAAATTTCATTTTTGTGTAAACATCTCTTGCTTCCCGCCATTGAATTATATTACTATATATTTAAGTATAATAAACGAATACAACTATTTTCACGAATAAACAATATTATTATTTCGTTGTGGTTATGTTTTCTACCCATTATTAATTATATTCGTGCTTTTCTCGTAGACACTGCAGTGCCAGGCCGATCGAATCGATGGGCAATCACTACACGGACGACCCTCGCATCTACAATTTCGTGTCGTCGCCCGAAAACCCATTGACTTGGGGAATATTTTCGACAACCCTGATGTACTACATCTTGCATCGGCCCACGGCTAAAGCAATGTGGTATCCGACGTTGATAATGAACTCGTCGACGTTTTTACACAAGCTCACCGTACTGGTATTGCATTATTTGCCAGCGTTCCTGTTGGATTTAGTGTTCATTTGCACGGGAAATAAACTCAGGTTTGTGGGCTTTGGTTTTTCCTTCCTTGAAAGCGGTTAGTAGGGCATGCGCACCTACCTGAAGCAATATAATATCCGAGTTAATCCTAACCGGAAATATAATATAATAAATTATGTATACTATTTTAGATTGGTCGAACAATACAAGAAAATAGGAAAATTCACTGACATATTGGAATACTTTTCCACGAGGGAATGGATATTCTGTAATAAAAACGTACAAGGCTTATGGAACAGCTTAAACAATGACGACAAAACACTGTTTCCGTTCGATATCAAAAAAATGCATTGGGAAGAGTACTTGGATACGTACCACAAAGGGATAATGACATTCTTGCTCAAAGAAGGACCGGACAAGTTACCGGAGGCCAGGAAACGTCTTCATGGGTATAACTTTTCTAATAATCTATAATATAAACTTAGTATGGCTACAATAGAGCATCAGACTGTACTACCCACAGCCTACATTATACAGTCGTACTTATGTAAAAATAAATTGACACCATCTCCAAACTTTTATTCTTTCCGGTATCTAAAGTAGAAAGTGAACTTTGTCGTGTTTTTTTCACGATCGAACTAACACGATTGAACTCTGTAGGAGCTTAATCAATTTAATACATGGTAACCTTTAACTTTTTCTTGCAACGCGAATAGAGAATACAATTCTACGTAAGATAAAATTGATAATATTGACCCTATATCGATAATCGATATCCATCACAATACCTCACTGTGTCCTAACTCGTAGTCTATAATTGTTTTGTAAATAACAATTGACGATTCCAATTAAAATCATTGTTTCATGTTTGTTTTTTAGTTTATATATCTGCCATATGATCTTCAAAGGCGCTGTCTACATTGGACTTATGATGCTGTTATGGGTGATTTTAAAAAGAATTTTTTTGGCTTAGTTGTGACTTACTTGCGTGTATATACTACATGGCTCCATGGAAGCTTAGATTCAATTTTAATCACATTAAACATATAGCTACCATGAAGTACAAGATTCCGTAAATATGTTTTACTATAGTTGTTATCCTTTTTTGACAAATCAAACAAACCATTACCTATTTTATTTTGTGTACCTTAATTAGTTGTATGTTATATTTTTTTTATAGAATTTATTTATAATTTTTTTTTTACTGTAAATTTCATACCTTTCTAAATCGAATTATATTCATAATTTAAGGAGTTCCTGATAATTAATCAAGTGTTTACATTAGATAGTAAATGTACAATATTATGTGTTAAGTAGGTAGTAATGTAAACATTTTATTACATTTAATTTATACATACATATATTTATATTTGATAGCTAAAAATGTATTATTATTTAAGATTATTTCATAGTGAATAATAATTTAATAAGCAAAAATGTAATAGCATACAATATGCTGAAACATTTTCATTTTAATAAATGAAAAAAATTATTTATTGTTTTAAATTATTTTTAAATTAAAAATTGCTTAAAAAGAACAATTATTTTAAGTTTATATGTGTAATATGTATATTAGTATTTTATTAATTAATACCTATATTTAAAAATCGCAAGCAATTTAGTTAAAACAAAAGTAGGTACCTATAGAATTCAAAATAATTAAATGAATGCTAGTTGGCATTATTATTATTTATTGTAATACACATCTGAGTTTAATTTATTACATATAAATGTCTACAATAACTTTCAATATCTCATAATAGATTGTTGTTACTTTTTAGTTCTAAAAATTCATAATTAAATATAGTAGTTATAACATATAGTTTATAAGTTTCTACTAAACACACTTGTATTATTTTTAAAAAAATTAAAAAAATTAAAATAAAATTGAACAATAATCATACAACTATAAAATTATACAAAACAATAAACATCGTATAATATTAGTGTATAATACGGTTTTAAAAATGGTTGTAAAATATTTTTTATATTTTCAATTATATCGTGAATCCCCTAATTTAAGTTTACGCCACCCTGAAGAGAAAAACTTACGTAACCTATAGAAGGTATTATATTTATTTATTCTGTTTCTTGTGGGTAGAGCACTAGAAAGTATTATGTAATATATAAAGTTCCTATGGAAAAAAAAATTATTTATTAACTGTATAACAAACTATAGAGTATGAACAAATGATTATTTTTTGAACACAATAGGCCGCCCAGAGGCTAGACACCTTCACATAAATTAATTTTTTTTGTATACCTACAATATTAATATATTTGTTGAATATGATATATTTTTATTTAACTTAAGCCAAATCTCAAGACTCCCCGAAAGTTGGAAGCAGTTAGTAAATTTATATTTATTGTACAAGTATTTTCTGTCTTTTCTTCTCAAATCAGTAATAACCAAAATTTCATTAACACAACTTTAATAAAAGGCAAGACAAAAGTAAATTAAACGAATCGTTAAATATTGTGCGTTTCATCTATTCTCTTGTATTAAGAAAAACAATTTCAAGAAAACATTTCTTGTTGATTAGATGAAGACAAAAATAGAATAATATTTTTTACAACGGTTCAGAATCGTTTGTGTGAAGCGACATTTTAACCCCAAGATACTAAGTACAAGTGACAAGTCTTGCCCTAATTAATTTTATCAAATGTATACACAATCCGTGGATTTATTGAGAGAAGAGAATAACAAAATATCTATTTTCCTTTAGTATTTAAGTTTTTAGTTTACTAATTTCTATTTTTCTTTTTAACATATTATGAAAATGAATTATTTTAAAAACATAGTGTGCCAGAGATCCAGAGATCCAGATTATAGTGGGTTTTCAATGAATAGATTTTAATAGGTTTTAATAGGTTTTTATTTTAATAGGTTTTCAAGACGATTTCCAATAGTTATTAATATTTACTATAAGAGTGCTTTATTTAAGCAAAAACTATAAAAGTGCACACAATTCGTGTCTCAAAGACTAATTATGGTAAAGTAGTGCTCACAATGCGTGACTAAGTACCCTCTGTGATTTTCCGGGGGTTTTTCGCCTCAATTATATATTACTCACAATCCATATTATATTAGTTACAAATTTATTTCAAATTCCAAATTCAATTTTTGATAATATTCTTAAAGCGAATTTTGAAAATAATTTAATGATTCACTATGTGAACTCTGTAGTTCAATAGGGATTTAAAACGTTATTTATAACGGAAAAAAAATTCAAAAATAAAAATTTAGATGTGTTTTATTTATAAATTTGTTTACTAAAGGGCCGATGATAATAACAAATAATCACACAGCAGTACCTGCAATTATTAGAGTCTGCGTACGCCTATGACCACTATGATATAAATCATTTTGCTGCATTCCGGGCTTCCTTATAAGTGGTTCCTGATCCGTTGTATTGGACCGGCTCGTATGTTTTGCAGGTATCATTTGGGTGTAGACGTCAAAGCAAATTATGACTGCGCGTAACATCCGTAAATGGCAACTTAATTTATGACCATCGAGTACCTTTACTGGGTAAAAATAATACTGAGTATTAATTTGCCACTCTACTATACGCTAGTCGCTGATTAAAAATGTGTTTTCATCATTAAAAACTGAAGGTTTGCTTCTATATTAAAATTAAAAATTGAAAATATATTTTGTAATTCTTAAAAACTTATTTAAATAACGTTTTTTCAATTTTAATTTTTATCTTTATTCATACTGCATAAACCAATTTATAATTTTTACGGGCTAGTTGGAATATTTCCGAGGGTTGGCACGTCTATACTATACTAATACTGTGTACCTAGTACGTATGTGTCAATGGATATAATGAACTGTTTTGTCACCCATTTGTCGAGTTTATTTTTTATTTTTTTTTTATCTTAATATTAAAAAAAAACCGGTCTCCTTAGAAAATACTATTGACCGGAAAAATCAGAGACTTCATACAAATAACAACACATGTGCTGAACAGTTAATTCAAATGTTTTAATATTTTATTGTTGGAATAAACCTAACTTTATAAATTATATGTATACCTACAAGTAGATAATATAAATATTTTTGCTCCAAGAAGTAGTACTTATATATTTTGCTCCTACTTATATATAAATAGAAAGATTAATAAATCACAAATGGGGAGTGTCAAGCAGTTTCTCCAGTCATCAAATTTTAGTAGTATTTATTCTTAGAAAACATTTACCAAAGACAAGATATAAAACAAATGTTTTAATTCTCTTTCGAAAGTGAGGTTTTCGACGAAATATATTGCCTCGCGGTGGCGTTTTAAATCCACCCCAGCGTATGTACACGGCTGTCGGCTACACACATAAACCACGCGGATTACAAATTACCGCTACATAAATGTGTGGATAAATAAAAAACTTCGATCAATGAACTCGCGTGACACATTGGATTTTTAACCTCGTCTTGAACAAGTACGGAACATAATCATATTATCTTAAATTAAAAATAAACATTTACAATAATTGAATACATGTCTATAAAAAATTGTTTATTATAATGATATTATTCTAGTCCCACAATAATCTTATTACAAACACTTGTGAGTCTCAGATTGAATAATGTCCTAATCCAGCCTAGTAACACACTCTATACTCTATAGTACAGTGTCTATACCTAGTCTCTGTGAATTAATCTTCAGAAAATAACACTCATTTACATATTAACCACACACATACACAACAAATATTATGGATGCAAGATTTAAGAACAAATTAAAATCAAACGTTTTTAACCGCTGGGTGTTTGACCCATTGACTATAGTGCCATGTTGTCCATACAGCTTTCATTGATTTATTAATTAATATTGTACTAGTTGTATTAACTCAAAGGATGCGTTCTTTATAGAAAGATATTTATACTGATTTATCCATGTTTGTCAGATATTTACATATCTAACTATATAAGGTGTCAAAAACACGTTGTTGAATTTGAAAAATTCAATACTATGGAAAAAAAAAATTATAACGTGATCTAAAGGGAACAAAAGTTTAGGGCATCTGCAGTCTGCACTAAACAATATTATTCTTTTGCAACCTAACAATCTCAAAGCATTTGAGAGTCTACGTTTTGCATTTCTTTGGAACGTTGTTCGAAACTTTGAACTCTTGGTAGTACCGGTGTAACAGGGGGGGGGGGGAATTACGAATAATAATATTTCATATACCTACAAAACTGAAATTAGGTTCAATAAATAAAATTGTTTTCCTTGCCGCTTGCCACCACGTGAAAGTACTCTAAAGATAATTAAATTTCAGACCTGCTGAGTGTAGTTAATTGTCATACTCATAATTAATATTTCCACTGAAAACTTACATAGGTACTTATACCATATATCTTATACTTATACATGGAAGTATGATGTCAAAAGACTGTCGACAGCGATTAGTTTACCATCTTGTATTACTTTTTATAGCATTTTCGGAAAAGAAATTTCGATCACATTTGTCAAAATGTGCATACACATTACACACTACACTTATGTTTAATAGTAATATGAAGGTAGGTGGAAAATTATCAGCTGAAAATAAAGGACTAATAAGGGATTGAGCTCAGATCGCGCCTCACCATGACACATATTATTATTATTATTATTTATTTATTTATTTATTTATTTATTTATTTATTAATTTACGGAATAAAAATTCCTTATTTAGTACAGCACACAACAATAATTCAGTAATATAAGATAATTAACCTATACAAATAGCGATGGCCTAAAAATACAGCAGAATTACAGGTACAATAAATATAAATTAAAATAATTAATTATTATTTTATTATTATTCAAAATTCAGCATAATAATGTCAGCTTACAATGTCTTGTATTTTCTATTCAAGTATTATAATTACATTAAATTGTATTTTATATATATTCAATACTGTTAAGTGTAATAATTAATAATGAAAAAAATATTGTTAGTAAAATATGAGTCTTGCAATAGTATTTCAGCAGATATTAATTTTTTTTTAGGTATCTATCAGTATACTAATAAATAATACTGTAGCTTATCATGATAAACAGTATAAAATATTGTTAGTTAATATATAATATATAATTGTAGTTTATAAAAAACATTTCATATCAGTTTAAGAAGGTGTAGGTAATTTAGTCTTTTTTTTCTCTATCCCGAAAATGTATTTGCATAATCATTTAGATAAATAATTGTATGGACATGACCGCATTTATTAATTTTTCTACCCCACCATATCTTTTCAATGATACTATCTTATCTAATAATACTTAAAAGGATTTATTTTGTTTCTTCAGAAAAATCAATAATTCTCCACCTGGGGTAATTATCCCTTTTGGACGACTCCCCTAAATTTGGCTTTAATATATTTAATAATTACATTTATACCTGTATTTAATTATCTCCCAACTTTATGAATATTTCAAATTAGATAAATACAAGTACCTATACCGAATTCTATTCCCGAATAAATTATCCCTGAATATCCCTGCCTACTATAATATATGCAG